AGGGACCCAGGACAGAATGAGACCCCAACCTAAGATATCCCTGAAAGGTGGGGCTTTTTTGCGTTTGGGCTTCCTACATTCCATCTAGAGAATTCTAAGCGATCCCACTTCCTGCCAGCGGGCTTAGCCATTCTGAGCTCTTTGCTGACCTCTGGTGGGAGAGGAGCTCTCACGGCCCAGAAAAGGTGTTTCCCCACAGGGGCAGCCCACCTGTCCTGCTCCCCAGGACCCCCAACATCCGGAGTAACACCCCCAGGGGTGACCGTGGTCACTAGCCCTGGCCAAGGTTCAGGGCTAGAAGTTGGGAGGTGTGGGGAGCGAACTGAGCAAACAAGGCTTTAAAGAAAGTCCCAGAAGATTATGGGCTTAAGGCAGGAATGCTAGAACCAAGTTTGTTAACTTAGAAGAATTTTAATAGCAGGGTGGGGGAAGCTTATGCCTGAAATTAATACATTTTGTTCAGTTCCTTTGACTTTTCAACGATAAAAGAGTGAGGGAAAGTATCCAGGCACGTGTGCAGAGGATAAGTTTCGTTGGAAAGGAACGAATTCCCATTACAAGACTTCGTAAGCCCTCGCGTGAGAAGCTCACATGGCCCTTCTCAAACGGATGACCTCATGATTTTATAGCCTCTGCGGGCAGGGAGGGAAGGGGGGGGACGGAAAGAACTGGCCAAAGGGTGCCTGTTCTTTTTGGAACCAGGAAACCTGGCCCCAGATGCTGTCAGGGCCAGCTTCCCCTCCATGGAATCTTGGCCGGAAGAAGGCAGACAGGGCCTGCCCCACATCCTGAAGTAGAAGATGGGGTCCCATCCCGAGGCAGGAAAGCCTCAGTCAATAAGAATGCCCTCGGTGCCTTGTGGGTTTGTGGCACTGAGGAGTAGAGAGGGGCTGAAATGAAAAAATTAAAACTGGCCCTGAAATCTCAGAGGCTCTGAAAACCCCAGTGACTCCCCGGCGACTGAAAGAACAGTGGGAATTCACCCTCAGCCAACACCTTCTCTCGTAAGAGAGACAATATTGAATCTTCCTATACTGTCTCAAATGCTAACTCCTCCAGGAAGGATCCCTGGGTTTCCCTGCTAGAAAAGGGACTCTGCCCACTTCCGAATCTCTTCTCTAGCCCTCGACCGGGGTGGGAAAGATACGCCACTCACCTCTGCTTCCTGCAAAGATTCTCCTAGCAATGGGTACCCAGACGTTGCTAATTATTTACCGAAGGACAACGGATTGGCCTAAACTTTCCTGTACCATCTGCCATTTTGGAAAGGACACTTTGGGGGGGGGGGGGCAGCATACCTGTTCTAGTGAAACTTTTTATACAAGAGAAATAAAGTTTCGCCGTGAGGAGGACACACGTCTAATTGTTCAGATGAGGAAAACTGGGACCCAGAAGATAAAGCCATTTGCCCAAGGTGTCAGAGCCCGTGCCTAGAAGAACCAGGGCACATGCGGGGGCTGGGAATGTGGAGGTCCCGGTGATAGTGGTTTTTTCCGGCCCTTGGCTCAGGTCTCCAGAGCTGCTAGTTGAAAGTGACAGGAATTTGTCCTCAGATACCAACTGTCCAGCTGAAAAAGTCCTGACGGCTATCCCTAGGCCCTGAGAAAGAGGATTAGGGAAGGGGTCACAGAGGCCCGCCTGAGGCAGAGCACACGGGGAGTTTCGAAAAGCCAGGCTCCCAACAGTAAAAGCCGAGTGCCATCTGCCGGCCAGCTCTGAACAGTTTTGCTCCATTTTACTGTTTATTGTACTTCCCAGCCCCAAATACTGGGGGTTCTCACCTCTTTCCCTCAAAGCCAGCTCTCTGCTGCTCAGAAACGCCCCTAAAACAAGAATCTAATGTTTTAAGAAATCGCAAAAGAGAGGAGAAGTAAAAGGAAAGCAAGAAAGCAGTAAGAGAATCTCCCCAGAAGGCTGATTTCTGCTCCCATTTCTGAGCTGGGCAGATCTCGGGGGGGGGGGGGGAACAGGATTAGCCCCGATGGTCTTTTCTTGACCCCTTCCTCCTCCAGGATGAAAGGTCAGCTCCCAGTTTTGAGCCTGCCCTCATCTGTGAAGTCAGACCCCATCTCTGGGGAGTCAAGGTTTCAGGGCCAGAAAGAAAAAGAAAAGAGAGCCCTCCGCCCCCTGTCAGCTCAACTCTCAGGTGAAGACGTCTGCAAGGGTTCTGATGTCCTCTACCCAGAATCCTTTGCCCCAGCCCTGCCCACCTCCCCACCTCGTTACACATAAAATGAACCCAGAGATACCGCCTGGTTTTCTCTTGGACCACCCGTCAAATTTAAGTCCCTCCCTTGACCATGGCAGGACCCCAGGACTACTAGGCAGAATCATCACAAAACGAAGCCTTGTCAACACTTTTCAGAATCAGATTTTGGCCCTTTCTGGATGTCACTTGGCAAATTCATGGAATCCTGGAATAGAGCGCTAGAAACAACCAAGGTCCCAGGAATGAGAATCCCCTAACCCCTAAGCCAGTGCTCTCTTTCCACTCTCCTAGGGCCCTCCAAGAAAAGTTGAGGATCCTCTGCCCACCCCCTCCCCCATCAGATCAGACTCCCTCCCCCATCAGAGCAACGCGCAAAGAACCATCACCGATGCCAAACCACCGCACGATAAAGGATTTCCTGAGTGCTCCAAAACGACTGGATCCCACCAGGAAAAGTTCCCAAAACTCCCACTCGGAAAGGGGAAACCCTCCTGCCAGTGCCCATCTTAAAACCAGCCCCGGCCATTTGTTTGTAAAACAAAATGATCTAATACGCTTCCCTTTTAGTAGCTAAAAAGGAAGACGTGAAATCACAGAAATGTTTAATTATAAATAGCTATTAGTTTTCTGGCAGCCCAACTTTTAAAAATTTTCCCCTAATGTCTGGCATTTGTTTCTGGGTTCTGCCCGGAGCCTTCTAAGCATTTCCTTGGAAAGATATTGTACTTGGTCCCAGGCAAGATGTCAAAATCAACATTCAAAAAACACGCCTTGGATAATATTTCGAGGATTCTGTAACAAGGATGTGTTAGTTAGGGGAGCACTTCACTTAGCTAAACTCGAAATATCTAAAAAAAGGATATCTTTAAATTTACATGTCCAATATATAATTTATCAAACTACCAATCACTTTCCGCCCCTCCCCCAAAAGTAATCCTTATACTAAAGGCAAAAGTGTTTCAATTCGTACAGACGTCTGTGGGGGGAGAGTAGTTATTCTCTTACTCCCCCCCCCCCCCTTTCTGGACTTTGCAACTAACTTAAAGACCACAAATTCCAAACACTCTAAGAAAAAAAAAAAAGAAAAAAACCACTTTGCTTAAGAAAAAATAAGTTTCTGATGAATCTATAACATCTAAAAGTTCTGTCAAAAGACCAGACCGGGGCAAGAATGTAAATGCGTTGGGCTCAAAATATAATAAAGTCTTCTTCCATTACAACTACCTGGGGGAGAGGCTGTTTAGGTGCAAGGTAGTGGGGGAGGGGGGTGTCGGGCCGCTGTCCAAAAATAAAATTATGATTTAGTCTTGTTACGATTATTACAAGAGATACTGCTTATAGAACCTGCCCTAGCATGGCCCAGGGGGCGTCAACCATCTTATCAAAGACCAAGTACAAGACTCTCCATCAGGAAACGTCCTTGGGTTATCACTTCTATTGGCACAAGTACGTTTTACTTCTAGAAGATCCTGTCTTACCTTCCTTAGGGAGTCATTCAGAGGCATTTCTTCCACTGCCCCCCAGCTCCCTGCAAAGGTAACTTCCTGCCTTGAAGTATCAGTGGCTAAAGGTTATGGGTCACCTCCGTGCGGTGGGCTGGCTCCCTGTGGACCCGGGACTGAGGCGACCCAGCTGACAGAGTCTACATTCTCGTGTGTGCGTGCGCACTCCCAGTTTAAGATTCCATTAATGTTCTGCGGGAGACATACGCAACGTGGGGCCCAGCCATCCCAGCGCGGATATATTACATCTGAGTACCAGTCCTGATTACCCTGGCATCCTTCTCTAGGCTGCAGAGGGAGTTAATTTCATAGACACAAGACAGAGGGAGAATTCCCAGCCTGCGACAGACAGAGGCCCCCGAAAGAACCTCTGAGCGGCAGGAGTGATCATGGAAGGGTTAAAATCTATTTAAGCCTTGATTTATCCCGGCCCATTGATTAGCTATGGGACTGACCTCGTTAATCAGAGTCTTAGACCAATTCATTACTTTCTTCCCTGGAATCATTCCCTTTCCTGTTCTGTGTCGGGTCATCTGGGTCACCTTCTTTTCTGAGATTTTTTGGAAATGACTTCCACCCAAGAATGCAGGATTGCTACCATTGCAGTAAACATTTCGGACTGGTTATTAGTAACTGCAGCCAACAACCTTTTCCCTGAAGGTATCTTCTCTTTTTAAGGTGTTCAGGTTATGATATGTATGATCTCTGTCTTCCCCAGAATTGGATATTGATAACGTTAGGGCAGTCTGTTATCAACTGGGGATGATATTGTCCCCCAGAGCACATTGGCAATGACTGGAGACAGTTCTGATTGTCACAATGTGTCCGTATGTAGTGGGGTTGGGGGGTTGGTGTGCGTGGGTGTGCGTGCATGGGTGAGAGAGAGGGAAAGACAGAGACAGAGACAGAGAGAGGTGGGCATCCAGTAGGCAGAGGTCAGGGATGCTGCTAGACATCCTACGGTGCCTCCAACAGGCAGCCTTCGTGACAGAATACCAATACGACTGCTATGAGAGCCCTCCGGTAAGACACGGCCCCTAAAATGCTCGGAAAACCCTAGGGCAGAGCCAACAGGGAGATGCCACAGCTTAAAAACAAAAGGCCGGGTTTGACCGAAGCTTTGGGGCCTATTAGGTGTGGCTTTGTCGGGTGGGGGTGAGAGCAGAGCAGGACCCTCCCCCATCCCCCGCAGCCTGTCCCCTTCCCCTCTCATTTAATCATAGATGTGACACCTTTCTTCTGCCTTACGCCGCCTCACCATCTAGTGGCCACCTGAAATATCAACTCACCTTCACCATCTCTGGGCCCTACTAAAGTCACTCGTTGAAAAACTCATCCCTGTGGGGGCAGTGGACAGAAAGACCCCTGAATGACGGAGGTGATTTCGTTCGTATGTTAATTAAGCACCTTGCAGGCCCGAGGTCCCTATACAGACAGGGCTGTAAGGAATTAAAATGGACACTTTCTAAGATTCGAGAAGCCCAAGGCCAAAAAGCTCAGGGACTGATGACAAATGTCTGACTCGTTATAAACGAGGACCTCAGAGACTTTTGCTTAAGTCCTTTGGACACTCAGGAGCGACCATAGACAAGAAGACGACACCTGGTGAGAACAACGTGTCCACGTGCCCAGGAATCTCAATCCCCATTATCCTTCCTGGGCAATGCCATCTACTCTGGACAGGTTGGGGTTTTTATTTCCCTTTTGCAATTGGGCCAAGGCCGGTGAAACAGGCCGCCTCGGCCTCGGCCTCCATCATCCCGCCTGGCTTTCGTTTTGGGCTATCAACATAAGCGTTATTGCTCCTTTGCAAAAAATTCTGCAAACCTACCTGAATCTGGGCTCCCTGTAAAAAAAAATCTCACAGTCATCTACACGCTAGCAATCAGTTTGATGAAAGGAAAAATTGTTCAAAATGGAACGAGGAGGGAGGCTACAAGGTTTGTCGGCTGGGGGGAGGCAAGGGCCGTGGTAATCAAGGGCGAGCCTCTCGCCCCGATGACCTCCTGGGGAGACGCGACTGTGGTCTCCTGGTGACACGGGGCCGGACCATGGCACTCCTTAGAGAGTGGGTACAAGACATTTTCCTTCCCTTTTTCAACGCACTGAAGGAAGCTTCAGGTACTTAACTCTGTCCCACACACCAAATGTGTGAGATGTGGGAAACGCTGACTGACTCATAATAAATTGGGGATCAGATAACAATTTATACCTTTACACCTCTTTCCTCGCCCCAAATTGAATCATTAGGAAGCATTTAGTAAGATCTAATGTTCAAGTTCTGTGGGCAGAGCTCCACGAGTCAAAGGCTCCCGAATTCTCCTGAGGTTTAACAAATTACTCTACAAAGCAATTTGGGATTTTCCCTCTAAGAGAGTATGAGAGAGGCACACTTTCTCTTCATCTTCACTGCTCTGTCACAGATCAGTTCCTGAACATTCTGCCTGTGCCACACCCCCCCGCTTTCCACGGGGGGGCAACTGTAATTCTAACTTGCAGGGGGAGCACCTGGGTGCCGTTTGTCGGGGACCAGAGAGCACCCTACGTCTCGATGGAGTGTGTGTTGATCGACAAGAATTAAAAGTCAAACATTGCTTTTTCTTGTGGTTCCTACCTCATTGTCGGAGGTCTCTTCTTCAATCCCCACTGGCCGGCCTGCTTCACCATCTGGCTGTCGGGAAGGAAAACTAAAAACAATCTTTTTTTTTTTTTTTTTTTTTTTTTTTTTGCATGTATGGTAAACATAGAACAATCTGTGCTCAGGTCCCTGGGTTCAACCACAGTCTGGAGTTGGTTTATAGAGAGGAGGATAATATAAATAATAAAAAGAGAAGGGTGGGGGGTGGGGGGTGGGGGAAACTTTTTCAGGACAAGCAAAAAAAAAAAAAAAAGATCTCCCCTCATCTTTTGGCCAGGTCACTCGCCTGAGAGTGACTTCACGCAGTCATAAATTTGGCAGGTGTCGTCTGTCTCCTGCTTGAGTTGACCTTTACTTATAAAATGTGGACAAAGAGCGTACTCTGAAAGGTAGAGACAGAAAGAATGGGCGTCTAGTACTTTTAGAACTTACAAGTAGCCGTCTCGTGGGGAGTATAGAAAACAGAACCCCCTCCCCCCCCCAAAAAAAAATCTTACCTGGAGCAGGGAGAGAAAAGTCTGAGAAGTAAATTTCTAAAAACAATGGTTACCATTTATTGGGCACTTACATGTGGCACTGGGTTGAGAATTTCTAGAGGGAAAACTTCACTTGTAGTATCTGGTCCTCTCTTTAGAAGAATCCAGGAAGAATAACGTCTCTTCCTCGGCTTCTGGCACTGGCCCTCTCCTCCCTCATTCCGAGGCTCCCTGGCCTCCGTGGTAGTTTGTATCTGGGGTACCCCACCTCTCCTCTTCATTTTGGGAAAGGCCACTGAGGATTTGCTGATTCTCCGGTAGGAGAATCTCTCCAAAGAGGGACAGACTCAGGCTGAGTCTCCTTCCCTGAAGAGGTCAGGGTCTCCTGCCCAAGGTGACCACAGGCCAGAATAGGAACTTGATGGGACAAAGTCCCTTTTGGTATAACCCAATGAAGTCTGTTAAAGGAGAGCGCAGCAGGGCCACGGTCTCAGAGTTCCTGTTACTGCGGGACCACCAGGGCTGGAGAGGGTTAATGAGGCTGACCGGGGCTTGACTGTTTCACTTGGTAGGGGGCGACCCTCTCCTACCAATTGGCCCTGCCCCTCCTATTTTGAAAATTCCTAATCTTCCTGCAAAAGGGGACTTTGAAATGGACAAATGGCATGTTAATTTCACATTCCACCAGGAACCCCAGGAGGCACAGGTGGGTCTGGAAAGAACCCCTTTGCCACCAGTTAAAGAAACCAAGTGTAGAAACCAACTTTAATTCTGTTGAGTGAAGGGCTGTCTCCGTACCTCCTGAAAGTTACTTTAGGTACAGGCATTGGAAGTGACACAGCTTTGCTGGGGGTGAGGGTCAGTTTTATTTGGTGGGAAAACTGACTCTGAAAAGAAGGAGAGGCATGACAGTATGAGAAGTTTCAAATCTAGGCAATTAGGCTACCTTCTCTTAAAAAAGGTATACATATATTTATTTACTTTTTGCTTAACACCAGCATTCCTGCATAAAAGTCAAAGGTGATCATTCTAAGGCTATGTACTGACTCTTGCTAAATAGGAATTAGCCCCAACTAAAAGTAAGGACTACTTAAAAAAAAAAAAAATCACTAGGAAGACTATTAAACAAGAATTATTGTAATAGGGTTATTAGATCCAGGCCAAGATGATTTTAAACAGTCTGTTAGTCTAACACTAAAAATGTAGGGCACCTATGCATAAAAGTACATCTACTGTTGTTGTTTTATTATATTATTGGAACTCTGAGTAAGAAGGAAAGCTTTAGACCCCAGTGAAGGAAACCACAGAGGATTTAAACAAGATTCCTAAGAAAACCTGCAGTGAAAACAGAAAAAAAAAAAAAAAAAAAAAAAAAAAAAAAAAAAAAAGCCCAACAAACAAAGACTGCAGTGTTGGCAGATGAGTTAAAGCAAATGTGGAAACCAAAGATCACCATAGCGATGACAGGTTATCTCAGAAATGGGGGAGCTCACGGTTCACGTACACTCAATGGACATTTATAACCCAGGATCTGTCGGGCTTGGCTACACTTCAGAAAGCAGACCTACTAGGCACCTGTCGTTTGACAAGGGATTTGAAGAGCACACAGCACTCTTAACAATGATGCTTTACATTTACACAACGCATGTTATCGCTTATGACCACAGCTTGCGTTAAGCACTGTCTTATCCGAATTAGGAACTTTTGATTCCTTCGCTTACCTTGCAGTCTTTGAGCAAAAGTCCCTGACATTTTAATCTCTGAGCTTTTGGTTTATTTGCCTATGAAATGGGGTCCTATCACATTTTTATTGCCCAAGGCTGTTTCAAAGGGCAAATGTGACTTAGATGAAAGGTTTTTAAAAATACAGAAAGAAGGTGGTATCATGGCTATGTGATCGTTACTATTGCTGCTTACTAATACCTGAAGGCAGGGAGGCTATCGTTTCAAGTCAGGAGGGGGTATGCAAAAGGCCCAGGAACCCTACTTTTCTTTGCCTGATTCCAGGTTCCCACGATACACATGATGTGGGCAAATTATAAAGAGGAACCTACCTGTATAGAAAACTATTTTTT